TATATGTCATTGTGGCCTGGATTTATCTGACTAGCTGAGTTTATGTAAACATCACTCAGTGGCTTTTCGACGTAGTATCCTGTCGTTGAACTCACAAGAAAAAGGAGTCATTGGGTTCGGTCTGACACTACCCAAGTGATTGGTGTCCGTTCGGTGCCTCCCTAACTACCTACAAACCCCGAAACAATTGACAGTGTATAAACCTTTCACCATATATCACTTTAGACAGAATACAGAGATAATCCTCAATAGGTACTTACGTCACAATCCTGGGCTAGCCGACAGAACAGGAAAGTCTCAAGGTTGTTTGCAGTTTCCTGTCATCTAATACAATCAATAAATATGGTTTCTGTCACGAAGCTAAGTGTGACTCACAACAGAGGGTGCAATTAGTGCATGCAGGTCAATGTAGCCACCTTAAAATTCAGAAAACTTGAGTGGCTTCGTGACATACCAAGTGTCACTCATCTCTTCACTTTCCATCAGTGTCATCTACAGAATGACTTGCAGAACTCATTGCTCAGCAAAGGCAACTCCTTCTTCCTCTTACAAAACGAGGTAATTTAGCATTACTTAGACCTATGATTTGATCTCCGTTCGTTTGAAACAACCCTTTAACGGTATGAATTTGCATGTTAGTAGCCCCAAGGCTTTTGGGTATATCACACTGCTCCACCTTACCGACTTATATTTTTGGGAAGTGCTCCACTTACCGTCTCCGCGATTTGACTGAGCCAAAAATGAACTGAGATGCTCAGTCGAATTTCCTAGTTTGCTCGATTTGATTCCGTTTAATAATGAAACCTGAAAATTTCAGTAAGGTGTTTATTTCATTGTCTTGATTGGTACAGGACTATGAAATTCGTACAACTGAATGTTCATTAGGGAATACAAGAAGTTCCACAACCGAGAACGTCCCTCCCGGGAGGTCACGTATTCGCATGTTGAAAAGTAACAAGCCCTTGACCTTGGGCTCGTACCTTCGCCGATCCCAAGTGCAGCTGGCATCCCAATTGAGGCGTTCGCTACCAAATTATTCACGACTGAAATGATCAGTTCTCCTAACTAATCATTGGTCTCAGGGGTAAAGTGAAAATTACCAAAGTTCTGGTTTGGAGTTCATCCGTCACTAGTAAACAGCCGCATAATTTTACATTTTTGCATCTATATATCTTCAATAGTAGGGATAAAATTTGCTTGGTTGGATGGCTGAAACACCCCAAAACACCCATCCCACCAAACAATGGAATACGAGGTCTACGCAGCTCAAATCACGATCGCACCAATATTACTACGAGAGAGGCACATATACCAACTGGCCAGCCACATGACAAGCTATTAGATACTCTCCAAAAACTGTATAAACGCAGCTGCGCACCAAGGAAACACCCACTCAGCTGCACATTGACAGTGTATCCTCGACTGGGGACGAAACGCTTGCAAACCTATTGCCAAGCTCGGCGAAAGGATCAACTACCATCTGATCAAACAACAGCGATAACCTTTAGGAATGCTGGGGTAACAAACTGACCAAGACCGCATAGGCATATCCAGTTAGACGATCCAGCTGATTCCTCATTCGAACAATACGAAATGTCCTCATTAATGAATTGTTGGTTTCATATGCATATCACCAAGAAACCGTTTACATCTAGAGAGTGTATTCCACGTGATCTGAGTGTATACTATATCAGTCTCGATGCGATGCTTCATTTTTTATCATTAAGAACATACTGCTAAGACTAAGCTTGCCAGCTTACTTCACCAATCATTCGTTCAATGTTGTAGTAACCCTCTTCTGTGCAATCCATCAAGTCAAATCTTCTTGCCAACATCCGTGCTATTGCCATGCTCTCCACATAGTTCTTCGGTTTATCCGGTGTATCGGGTTCGAACACTTGGAGCACAGGCATCCTTCCGCCAGGAACCTCAGATTTTCGTTTTGCCCAGTCATCTGCTGGGATTCGTTCATCGTCAAAAGGCACACCGGCTGCATGCAGCACCATGCGTATCACTTCACCGCGTGCTCGGAAATTGAAATAGTATAGCTGGACAAAGCAGTGATGAAAAGTAAATTGTGCGATATCGGTGGTTAAATGCACTCATTTTAAAGTAAGTAGATGTTAACGAGGCAATCACATGAAATCCAGTGGGATATTTGGATCATTATCTCATCAACTGGGTAGACCGCCAGTTTCGAGCAACCTCATGCTACGTCAAGAAAACATACTCTGATATCTCAACCAATAGACCAATTGAAAAATGAAGCGAACTTTGTGCAACACATTCGATTAAAGGTTCCAAACAGACGTGAGAATGTTTATTTTGCCACTTGCGTATATTTCGCCGCACAAATAGGACTTAAGCTTGATGAAACCTTGGTGACAATGCCTAGCTAGGGATTCCCAAGAAACCAGTTGTCGACGAGCTTTCAGCAACTTAATAAGTAGTGTTTTGGGATTTCAGGTAGTTCAGAATAAAGGATCTCAATAAAAATCGCTAAACATTACGTGTAACTGTGTGAAACTGACTCGGCATTTCGAGCAGTCATGCGACTAGAACCGAGTACGTCATCTGTTTTCTAAGAAATTGCGAGTGCCTGACTCATGCTTGGCTGTATGTCCCACACTCTTCCCTCTTCAGGTGATCGGAACTGTAGCAGTTGGAACCAACCTGCCTATGATACACGGTTTATAACTCATTAGTTGAACTGGTATACCTCTAAATCGTTAGGTATGTGTGCATATTTGTCACCACTGACCCATCTAAACTTCTTAGGTGCTGTGCATAGCTCCTACTCTGACGGTTTTTAAGCCTATTCACGTTGCTGTTCGTTTCGGATAAGAACGAAAAAAATGCTAAGTGCCTCTCGGTGACCCATATGAAGCTTATTTTCCCGTCCCCGTTTTACCGAAAACCAACCAAAAGGAAACTATCCCACTCCGTTCTGAGTAAGTTGAGGAATATTTTCAAACATTCATTTACTTATCGCTCGCAATCCCCATCGGTTGCGACCTCTCTCGAATATGACTATCCAAAGGATTTCTGTTGAAATCGCTGAAGTAATCCATAGGGTAGTTCCATCGTCAGTTTACCAAAAAGGACAAAGTTGTTGACAGTAACCGAAACCATTGGCTTGATTCTCCTCACTGTACCACTAGGAATCATACTCTTCGAAATTCTGGAACACCTGTTCAGATGGTTTTCCAAGAAGAACCCTCCGAACGGCACCATATGAACTGCTTTGAGGTGGACAAAAACCTTATTTCATTTTAACTATATGAAACTATCCTGTTACCTGGCTTGGTGAATAGCAAACACACAAAAAGAATCGTTCAATCTTTCAGCCTGGGTTGATATTCAAACACTGACTGAATGGAGAAGTTAACAGCTTATGTCGGTCAGTAACACCGTCCAACTCACCTTGTATTTTTCACCACTCATGGTAAAAACAACGCAGTTCGTTCGTAGGCACACAAAACATGTGCCTCTTTATACTCTTGGCGTACACAAGGACACGTATAATCCAAATTTGACAATCACCGAACAGCACGTCTGTCATTTGATACCGGCTGAGTGAATTTAACTAGATCCATGCAACCAACTCCGGTTCTGCACCCGACAACTGAACGGTCGAACGGAAAAAGTAACAATGTTGATGCGAACATACATACACAGTAGGACGGCTCCATCAATTTCACCACTCTTAGTGGAGTAGTGATTTCCATGTCGAAAAACGAGTACGGAAACACGTGCCTGGAATTCCTCGCAATTCTGTCATTGTCAGACTAAACAACGGTGCGAAAATAGTGGTGCTTCATGACAAACAAATCGTCGTATCGTTTTCAGGGTCCGATCGCTTCCAAATCTACAGGGGTGAGAAGCATATTCCGATGATGACGAATTATCCGGGAACTGAAAAATTAATTTGACGCAGTAAGCTCAAAGATGTGAGGAAACCTTAGTGTGCTGGCCTAGGTGACCTTGATGACTCATTAGCTGCTGAGCGAGAATATGGCCTCGTCGAAGTCCCCAATTTTCGTAGGGTATGCCAGGGAGATACGATCTCACGGAGGAATCTGAATGTTTAATTATCTTCATAAGTTTGATTTACTTCAAGGCAGGGCAAGAGCTGTGTGATTGCATTTCGTTTATGGGTCCAAGAAGTAATATGTATTGTATTCACTCCCAGAAACAGCACTGTCCCAGCTGCTCGATAGAGACTCCCATGGCGACAGTCTTCTTGGGGGATCATCTCGCCCTCCTTGCTGAAACGCCGCATTCNTCATCTCGTCCATCCTGCTGAACCGCCAGATTTCCCCTGTAGTTCGCGTTCGAGGTCCAAAAGCACAGAGATTACTCTCCATCTTAACGAAACGAGAACACCTTGCAATTGAATACAATAAAGGCACAGATGTTAATCAATTACACAGCTGTGTGCATCTTCTGGGGAGTACCGTTTACTTTCATTGTGGTAGCTAGGCTGTAGCTATTTGCATTGTTGAAAAAGTGGAAATTTCTAGGTATAGCTGGGGACCAGTTTAATAGTGAGGACTAAAGGCAATCCCGAACGAAAAGTAGATCACCATGGTAGGCCACATTCCAATCTCTCTCTCCTCTCTTTCTGTCTTTTGAACAGTACTCAATCTGTTTTGCAGTGATTATTCTGGTTAGTCCACATCACCGGGGTGGGCTCGGCTTGCGCTCTTATCAGACATCACCAGTGATGCTTATGCCCGGGATATGGTCTTCGGAAATCCGGCTTGTGAGTCTAACATGTTATTACCGCTCTGACAGTGTCTGAGTTTTTAAATCGGAACAGGCAACCAGCCGTTTACGGACAGTATGTTGTTGACGGCATTGTTAATGGCATTGAATATCAGCTTTATAACCCACCAATAAAAGGCTGACGGAACAAAGTTTTTGATAGACCGCCTTGAAGAAAGTAGACAAGAGTATGGCAACCGCTGCTGTCAGTTCAAGAGGATCATTTGGCCGTGATAAAAGTAGCTTCTGTCTCTTTGGAACGGTTGGGATAAACATTCTTTGAGCCACATGGACTGGATTCAGTAGTGTCCGGGTATCACGAAACTATCGTGGGATCAAGAACTCAGAAATCCTCTGAACCTCTAGGTCTGTGTTGGCACCAGGCTCTGTTCCGGCGAATTAGTTTCGTCCACATAACAGAGCTGACAGATTATGCGCAATTATATGTGGACTAACTGCAGATATCTCACGTCATCCTCTTTCTCAGGAAATGTTGCTTGCAGGTTCAACAGTGAGCCCACCTCTTTTCGGTGGTATAAGGGGCCATCCAGCTTAACCCAACAAAACATCATAGCGTATGAAACGGGTCCAATCAAATTGAACCACTTAGTGGTCTGAGAAACGAACGGATTTTAATACCCTCTGACTGGTGCTCTGTGGTTGGTCAGCAGGATCATGGACGATGTGGAATCCAGATGGTCCTTAAAAGTAATTACTCAGTGATCCAGTAACCGACTTCTGGGACATAGGAAGTGTTTCTGTGGTCTCCTACATACCAGAGAGAAACAGTTCATTCTTTAGTTTTTTTGAGATCTGAAAACAGTGTATAGCATCCAGGAGTCCTACTTTATCTACAGATACCATATGGGGATTGAGCTCGCTTTGAAGATCCATCAAGGGTGCACCTTCGCTTCATGACGGCTATTGGAAAGGATGGGTGATACCTCAAGAGAAAGACATTTTCCTGGTAATTATTGATATAGATAGTCAGGAGGTGTTTTCCACAAATTTGTATGTTTTCCGTCGCACGTACGACGCCAAAACAAAATGTAAGCAGGTAAGTAGATTGTCGCTGATGTAAAAAAAAGTCAAGGTAATGCTCTTGGTAACAGTTTGCAGATGAGTAAAATATGCCCAGCCTAATTGTCAGGCTAGCTGATTTTCTGAGGCAAAAGTTGAATGGTCTGGTGAAATTCTTAAAGGATAACAGCTGTGCCTGCCTCTCTATTCCGAGACTGCTGGCAGACAACCCGTAGAGTTAAGCCATGCCTATTGAAAAGTTAAGTTTTCATTATTCTTGTTAGGGAGGCAACTCAATCTTACGTGTTCCCTAATTCCATTCTATCAGTTTCATAGGTGGGTCTCAAGAGTTCAGAACGCGTAACTCGCACAAACACGGTGTGACGATGAGGAACCGAGTGAGTTGGAGTGCGATGGAGTGAAGTGAAGTGGGGCAGTGTGGAAAGAACTTAGAAGTGAGTGATTGTGGGTTGGAATAAGGTGAACCATCCAGTAACCCCTAAACACCAAAGTCTTCCTCATACAATAAGTCTGCTAGTAAAGACGACTGAAAAACAGGGAAATATTGTGTGATCACAGTTTCCTCCCTCCTCTCCATCTCTTTTACTCTCATTCGTTAATTAAACTATGAACTGTTCCGTCAAATGGTGTTATCAGCACATCCAAACGTATCCGACAACTTTCTAAGTAAACAACATACTCCGTAGTCACGATGATCATCCCGTTTGATACATCAAGTGGCCTCTATCAAGTTCGACAAGGTCAGCGAATTGATTAATGACCACCGGGTCAACTACTAATAAAAACACACGAATTACCGCCAAATCAATAAGGGTGTTATGATTAGAAACTGAGCAATACAATCGCAGTGATGTCAGTTGGTTGTGTCGCGCACAACCTGAAGAAAAAGTGGCGAACAAGTTGAGTTGAACAGGAGTGTTGCACAGTGTGCAATCACCAGATAGTATCGTGAATTAAACGGGGAAATGTAACACGTTTGGAAATCTGCGGCCGAACAGGTGGGGGGGCCATTTTAGAAAGGTGACTGTCTAGAAAACGGATCGCTGCACTAATTGGTTGATCCGAATTTAAAAACGATTGTCGTTGTATTTGAGAAGTAGTACAGAAAACAACTATCAGTAAGAACGTGATTCCACTTTCACTGAAGTATACTGGCTCTGCAACTGCAACTAACCAACTCACCACTGGTTATCGCAGGTTTGAGTGAGAATTTCGCAGAAAAAGTACAACGTTAATCACATATCATGGTCATGGTGGTCTTTTTTACAAAAACAAAAATTCAGGTCATCAGTCCACCTGAGATTGTGACTTTCAGTCAGGAACTGGTCTTGTAATAATAACGGTCGCTAGACGTGCCTATTGTGGGTCAGTTCGCAGAACGAACTGCTAGTTTTCTTGGACTGAACGTGACTTAGAACCATCACTGAGACTATCAGGTAGGATAAAAAAACACTGGACAGAATAACCTGGATAGTTTGTGACGAGAGTTTGCTATTTAGAAGCACTTATAAACTTTGGGGATTGTCGAGTGGATGAAACACTGAGTTTAAATAATACTTCTTTGATATGTTCAGATTTGTCGCAAAGACTGGCAAATATAACGCCACAGTTTGTGCTGTTTTACAGGAGTTGGTCAGTTAGCGCGTCCTCCTGATCCTTAAACTATATTCTTTTTCCCCACAGTGCAGAAACCGTTCATCTGTAAAGAACGTTGGGTGCCTAGCTGCAATGCTAGGAAGCAGGGATGTGAGACACTATCAGGTTGCCCAGGCCTAGACAGAAACTGTCGATATGCAAGGGTCTAATTCGAACCACCGATCTTCCGGTGCTTAAGTGTGAGCCTTAACCACTGAGCTATCTGGAGCTTGCATGGCTGTGCACACCCACGCACTAGTTTTTGACGCAACGACAACTGCTACAGGAGACGTCGCCCATGCTGTTTTCGGGCACGGTGCTTTAATCAGATGCAAACAAGGGGCTCACTCACCCTGATGGTTAGGAGATACGTGCAAATGAACCAGGTCCTGCAAAGTGCACACTGCATCGGTTTATCCTAGGGATGCAAAGCAACGGAGTTAATGAACCGGATCAAGGTGTGCAGTGGCTAAGCGGTGAGTCCGGACGGACGGGCAAAACCGATAAACCACATCCAACAGCGTTAAATGGTAAGCTTCAGGCGCCCCAGAAGGTGAAGGCGACAATCAGATGCTCGAAAGCTACACAAAGGTTTCGTGGACATGACAAATAGTGTGTAGTTTTCGAAAGAATATTTTAGGTTCCTCCTGAATACCTCAAGTCCGGTTCGCCAGCTTCAGACAGCAATTAACAATCATCGTCAAAACGGCAACGAATCGCATTATTCCTTCAGGTGAACTTCGACAGTTTGTTATTTTACGGCATGATGAGTAAATCTTTCTAATGTAATTTGCTGAATATTGCGAAACGTTAGGAACCTAGCGGTATGTCTTCAACCCATGTGTAACGTTTAGTAGCTTCATCAGACGCAGAACGTGGGTTAAAAGATGATATATGAAATTTGAATCGACCGGCCGCGGTCATTCCCGTCCGCTTCTGTGGCGAAAGAGGCAGAACGTGGGTTACGACGCAGAACGCGGTCATTCCCGTCCGCTTCTGTGGCGAGAGTTTGCATTTTTGGACTGTCGACACTTCTGGTTTCTGATGTAGCGTGAACATACAGACCTTTTTAGTGGATGGCATCCAGTAACTTTGAAATG